GGGGGGGGGGGACCCCGCAGGGCGAGGCGACCTGAGCTGATCGCGGAAGGTCCTGGAGCAGAGACAAAAGGCGGCCGCCCGCTCTCCCTGCGGCGTGGGTGCCGGGGGCCGCGTGGGGCTGGGCTCCTGCCTCGGCGTCTCCTGCGCGTCTCCGCTGACCTTGTCTTTGGCAGCTTGTTCATCGGTGGGGTTTTGTTGTCGTGGTGTTTTTTAACCCTTCCCCAGGAATATTTTTTCAGTTGCTTTTCAGAGAAAGCAGAAGGGAGAGGGAAAGAGAGAGAGAGAGAGAGAGAGAAGCATCGGCCGGTTGCCTCCCGCAGGCAGGGACCGAGCCTGCAACCGAGGTCGGTGCCCTGGGCCAGAATCAAACCCGGGACCCTTCAGTCCGCAGGCCGACGCTCTAACCACCGCGGACACCGGCCAGGGCTCAGCCAGTGTTTTTGTTTTGTCTGAATGCAAGAGTAAAATTTCCCTTTGGTTTATCAATTTTTTTAAAAAAATATATCTTTATTGATTTTGGAGAGAGGAAGGGAGAGAGAGAGAGAGAGAGAGAGAAACATCAATGATGAGAGAGCCATCGATCGAGCCCGCAACCTGGGCATGTGCCCTGACCGGGAATCGAACCCCGATCGCCTGGATCCCAGGTCGACGCTCAACCGCTGAGCCACGCCCAGCCGGTCTGGTTTATCAATTTTATGAGCCACAAGCTGACATAAAGAGTTTTATACATACAGTTAGGTCCTCGCTTAAGTGCCGGTGATACGTTTGGAGACTTTAAGCAAAACAGCACACCACGCAACCAATTCTACCGCAGGCTACTTGACGTAAACAAGAGTTAAGTTCCTTCAGCGTCTCATCAACGTTAAAAAAAAGGACATTGAAGGGAATGACGTCATTCAGAGACCTGCTGTGTGTCTAGGGCGTCCCAAAAAAGTGTGCGCACACTTCAACGGTTGCTGATAAGTCACTTAATTTTCGCTCCTTTTGAGGTTTAACTGATTCGAAATAATGGGTGAAGCCAGACTAAGCTTTGAACAAAGAATATTTATCCTAAAGGGCCCCTGGACTTTTATTTTTATTTTTTAAATATATCTTTATTGATTTCAGAGAGAGGAAAGGAGAGGGAGACAGACAGAAATGTCAATGATGAGAGTCATTGATCGGCTGCAGCCCGCAACCCGGGCATGTGCCCTGACCGGGAATCGAACCCCGATCGTCTGGATCCTAGGTTGATGCTCAACCGCTGAGCCACGCCCAGCCGGGCTGGACTTTTTTTTTATGGGGACACATGAAAGATAAAGTTTACAGAACAAAACCGGCAACAGCGGCCGCACTGCGGGCGCACAGATACCGCACGAGCTGATCCGGGACGTTGGCGATTCCATCGCTTCGCGTTATGAGCAGCGCCTGGACCAGGACAGTCATCAGTTTGAAAACAGGCGTTGACCAAAAAAAAACTATTCATTTCTGTAGATTCTTTTAAATTTTGAAATTGAGCTGTATGTTAATCAACACGGACTTTATAATCATTCAAAGCGTGTACACATTTTTGGGGACACCCTGCGTATATAACCAGTTCAGGGCAGACTGAAGCTGGCGGGAGACAATA